GAATTATGCAGTTACAACTATGCAACGCGCTATTAGAGAAGTAAATCTGAAGAAAGAAGAGACGATACCGTATCGATAGAACCACGCATCAGCAAATGCTAAACTTGACAACAAAACGGCCGCTAGGGCGATCAAGTGATGTTCTTGTGCAAAAAGAGGTGTAGTGACCCAAAATATCCAAGGGCGGGAGACCTGGAGTGCCTGCGTTTACCTTTTTGGTAAAGTAGAGAAATATGGATATACGAAGATAATTTTGAGAAACTTAGCAAATCTTCTTGGTAATTTTGGCAAACTCACTGTTTGCATGTGCAGCTGAAGTCCACATCTACAGCTATTCCCACAAAAAATACTGAGACGCGTAGCAGAATTCGGAAATTGTACGGGCTTGGCAAATCTAACAATTCCTAATTTCAGCATTTTGGCAGATCCTAGGAGTCTTAAAGTTTTCTGAAACTTTCGTATTCATGATCAGTGTCCTACCATGATTTCTTCTTGAACCCAGGCCGGAACGCACCAGGGTCTCTGGTGCTATCATGCGTTTTTGCACTAAACTCGCAGATCGCTATTAGCAGGAATGATCCCTGTGCAGTAGCCCAACACTTGGGCTAATATTGGCCGTACTTTGATCCTTACCCGCGTGCAGGAGGAAGGACATCAGTTGGGACGAAGGTGGTGCATTATAGAGCCGCACGGACATCAGGTGCATGATTACCGGTTTTTTGCATGAAGTCCGGTGGTTTTTTTGGTAAATGCTCGCTTTGTGAAAAAATGACAGATGCAAATTTTTTGAAACCCAGGCTGGAACGCACCAGGCGAGCCGGTGCGATCATGCGTTTTTGCATCAAACCTTGAGGTACTCCATCATTATTTCCCTGTCCTTGCCTCACCCCCTCCACTCGCTGTTCTCGCCCCTCCCCTTCCCCCGACACCCACCCTGGATATCCATCTTCTCCAAGCGGTGATATTGTGCTGCATTATACAGCACGATCACAAAGCGGTATTCCGTGAGTATGGTACCGTGAGTCCAACGCTCTTCACTTTGGGCTTGTTTATGGTGTAGAGCGGTCTGAGGCTCTACGCAGTGGGGTTGTTTGTGGTTGGGGGGTGGGTGGTAGTCCTTGGTGGTAGGATGTGGGCGGTGTTTGAGTGAGGGGGGGACGGGGAGTGTTGGGGAGGTGGTCGGTGTTGGGGAGGTGGCCGGTGTTTGGGGGGCGGTCGGTGTTGGAGGGTGCCCGGTGTTGGAGACGCTCGGTGTTGGGTGGAGTGGGGGGAGGGGGGTCAGCGTTCTTTCGGTTCTCGTTTGTGCTTGGCATTTGCAGATGTTCGGGGAAAGGGGCATGGGGTCAGCGTTCTTTCGGTTCTCGTTTGTGTTTGGCATTTGCAGATGTTCGGGGAAAGGGGCGCCCTTTTGCGATTGCACTGGGAGAGGGATACCGTAGTGTTTTGTGCAGGATAGGAACAGTTGTGTCCCCTTTAGAACAGCCATGGCACCCGCCTCCTAAGAACAGCTGCGTAATCCACATCTCGGAA